TCAACAGGCTGCCTCTCTCAGCTTGTGCTTTCATGTTTTATCAGTGTGCTTTTATTCAGGCATTTTCAGTGTAAGGAACCACACACTGGTCAAAGATAAAATCCAGTTAGACAGCCACAGGCACTGTATGTGTGTCGTTCCTCATGTTTTAAAAAATAAAACATAATATTATTAAGGAATTGGTTTAGAGAACTGTAGTTATGATTTCATATTAATTTGATACAAACCAGTAGATACAAAGCCTTTCCACACCATCAAAGTAGAACCTTTTTTGCAGTCAGTTCTTCCTCATCAGCCTGTGCACACACTCAGTCCTGATCAGTCCAGATTTTGAGAAAACATTCCTGGTCCAAGTAGATGCATCCAGTGTTGGGATTGGAGCTGTGTTAGCATAAGGTGAAAGAGGGGGGGAGAGACCTGTGCTGTATCTCAGCCGCAAGCTCCTACTGAGAGAGACCAGATATTCCACCATGGTGAAGAAATGCCTGCTAATGACATGGGCTTTAGACAGCTTACACTACTACAATCTTGGATGTAGTACTGTACAGGAAATACTCTACGTACTACATCCAAGAATGTAGTACTTAGAGTATTTCCTGGAAATGTATCACCAAGCTTTAACCTGGCTCAACTCAATGGGGGACAAGAATTTTATTGCCGTAGTGCTGTTGCAGCCGCTGAACACACAGGAATCACTACTGTAAAATGATCTTGTACGACACCCGAAGACAAGGATGTGCTCTTTGTACTAGTTATACGCTCTGTCAGAAATCCCGGGGAATCTTTAAGAAGATGAGTGGGGACTGAATCTAACAGACATGTGGTAGGTTTTGTTTTGATTATTAGTTAGATTTTATTTTTTACTAATCTTATGAGAAACAGAAAACAGGAGTGTAGAGAAAAAACAGAGCATATATGTTAAAGTTTTACAGTATCTTAGCTAAGATTTTTTGCATGTATGCATATAATCACTCTCAGGAATTCATAGTTTGAAATTAATGTATAACAACATCCACTGTCATTCTTAAAACAGTAAAAACTGTCAGTATGAGTATGTAGGGTATGTGGGAGATGTGGTCGTGCAACAGGAAGTCAGAGTTATTCTCCACAAAGCACATGCTATTAAGCTATCAGGTCACAAGCTATGACCTGTTTCAGATAAGAAACAGTGTGTGGTGCAAAGATGATTCTAGGATTCTTCTTCATTTCTGTCATTGCTGTTTTATCAGGTAAGATTCAGTCACTAAGTATGCTGCCTTCATACCAGAATAACTGTTATCTTTCAGTAACAATAATACGTAATACAGACAAATCCAATAACAGCTAAAATGTTTAAACTAAATAAATTTTAATGATTTATCTTGCTGCTTCCAGTTGCCATATATGCAATCTATTGCATAATTGCTACAGATTGAAATGGATAATGTTATGATTTCCATGATTTTCATTAAGAAAGATATTAATGTAGGCATTCATTCATATTTGCATAGTTAGTATTTTAGTAGAGTGTAAAACTATATAGCACAATGGAATACATGCAAAAATATACATTACAATTTATAGGACTTTAATTTTTCATATT